AATGCATGTAGGAAGTACAATGAAAATAATATTCCATTTATAGTATGAATAATATATAAAATAGTTGACTCCCAGGCATAGACTTCTAATGAAATAAAAGGAAAAAAATAACTGGAAAGGTTTACTTTATACTTGATTGTAGAGTCTAAAATAAAGATGACAACACTTCCTAATTTAGTAAAGATATTTTAATATAAGACTAATTAATTTTTCTCAAGATATTTTAAATAACATTTTAAAATGAAATTTCCAAGTCAAGGAAACATGTCTTTGTTTTAAGTTTATTGACTATTCTTAATAGTGCATTTTTTTATTAGATAAGATTGGGGCAATCAGGAATTCTATAATTGATCTTTGATTTGTTAGTGGATATTCAAACAAACCTTCAAAAAAAGGTTAAGAATACTGGAATAAAAATTAGGCCATGAGCAGCCCCAAATAGCATAACAAGAAACATAATCTTAAAAAATGTCCTGAAGATGTATGCTTTAGCTGCAGATAAAACACACACCCCTATTATTGTTGAAATTGCACTTTGTAACACTGGGTAGCCTACCTCGTATAATGCCTCAATTGATTTTTTGTTTACTGAGGGCTGAGAACTGGAAACAAATGCATAGGAAATGTGTGCAGAAAAATCGAAAGAAAACCCTATACAAATGACGAGATTAATCATGGATATGGAATCAAGATTGACATTCCATATTGCCATAAAACCTGTTACTCCCACAATCACAGAAGTAATAGCAAAAGTTACCCACAAGGAACACATTGGATGAGGAATTAACAATAAGGAAACAATGAACATAGCTGCTGATGCAACTATGACATTTTGAATAGTATTTTCTAATATTGCGGCATACTGATCAAAATATATGAATGCCTGGTTATACACTAGTAGGGGAATTTCACACTTTTCGGCTATGCTCCGTAATTGGAATAACATTATCTTCTTACTGGTTGAGGAAGAAACATGCATAGTCTGAACAAAGCCCCGGGAAGAAATGATTTCATTCGATGATGAAATATTAATATCATACATAAAAGTTGGAAAATAGTTTACAAAACCAGAAATACCATTTATAAAAGCATTCTTATCATTAGGATCTTGTCCATTACCTTTCATATATTGCACATATGCTCGTAACCAGAATTCTGTAAGATTTGCGTCTACATAGGAATTTTTTTCAAAATCTATCATACATTTTTCCAATTTTTGCCTAACTTCTTTATCCCAGTAGTCAATACTTTTAGTGATAACGACCATAACCCTGGGACCATAGTCTGAAAAATACTCTTCCTCTACATTAAAATACGGTGTGATGTAGGAATCGTCACTTGCCAGATTTCGAAGGTCTAAACCTTCCTGCACTTGGAAACACCCATATATACTACTGACAAGGTACAAAATGTATAGCACCACTACAAAAACCTTGGACTGAGTATTTGTGAGAAAAGGACCAAAATAGTCTCTAAAGAACACATTCATTGGATGGACATCAGTTCCCTGTTCATCTACGACAGAACCAAATGGGAAACAGAACTTTTTTAATGAGGGACATTTTTGGTCAGGAGTCTCTGGCTTTTTCAACCAGCGTAGGCAGACTACTTCTCTTTTACCATCCAGGGCCATAAATGCTCCAAAACAAGTGATGTTATAAATATAACAAAAGAACAGGGTTGTTCCTGTATAGATGCAAAAGTATCGTACGGACCTGAAAGAGCTCATAACCCCTGTATAGAAGGCCAGGATGTTGGTGACAGTGGTGATTGTAATGGACACTGCCACCTTTGAGTAGACGTGGGACATGCGCTCTCGTATGCCTTCCATGAGGCTGGTCTTCTGCCAGGCAGAAATCATGATAAACATGTCATCGACTCCGATACCTGTGAAAAAGAAACAGACTCTTCATACATATTAATATCCATTAATAATTAAACAGATTGATTCAAACCATTTTCTTTTTCTATCTCTTAAGGTCTTATTTATCTTGCCCAGTCTCTGCTTAGATACTACCTTCTCTGTGATGCTTTCTCTGGTTGCCTCTGAATTCACAACAGAATTCATCACTCCTTCCTCTGTAATAAGTCTTTGCTTTGTACATACTCCTGTTAATTTGCACATAGCACAGTGTACTCCTAGTCTTCACTTAGGGTGCTTTAATGATTAAATCAGGAAACCTGGCTGATTGGGTGTTAATTGAAATAGCATTAACAATGTATCATTTGTTCCACTAGATTGGTGAGAGATCATTTTCTCTCATAAGACATTTCATGCTAATGTACAGACACTGTCGCGGCCCGGATTGCAGAACGGGGGATGGACACAGAAAGAAACACACAGACACACACAAGGACATACAAGACTGCAGTACTCGATTTGCACCAGTCGTTTTATTTATATACTTTTTCTCTGTCCGGCAGCTACTTCCTGGTATGTCACTACCTTGGGCACCTTGAGGAAAACACATTTTCATTCCTTCCAGACGATTGCTCAATGGAAGCAGATGTTTGCATCTTAACTTCTTTATCTCATTACCGTATGCAGGACAATGAGTCTCCTTGGCTTGTTTGCAAGACCCCAGGCGCTTGGTTATCTGTCATAAAGCCGTCCGTCATGAGGAATAGTTCTGTTTGTCCAACAGGCCGTGTCCGGACCTATTGTCCTCTGGCCCCAAGGAGAGCACATCCAGTTTCGCTGACTCTGGGCTTAAGCCAGTTTTGCCCAGGGATGGTCCCTACAGACACATCCAGCCAACATTCTGTCACTTAAAATAGAAGCTGGATTTATCTGTTCTACAGTTAGCATCTGGCTATCTATGTGCTACACATAGTTTATGGACACACATACAGGCACATGCACAAATGTAGTTTTTCTGCTAGTCTGTTTTTGATACCTAGAATGTTATTACTCAGACTTCACTGGTCCAGGTTAAGGCATTATCTCATTACAGTTCAACCACTCCTAAGATCAGAAATATGTACCAAAGTAAGTCTTAAGAATTCTTTACATATCAGTGCCTACTAGGTAATCAATTCCTTTGCTCAATGACATTTCAGATTGGTGTGGAATAGAGAGAACAAGAAAACATTTGAGGACTTTCAAGTCATCATCACTGAAGACTGGGAAAGGAGTATTACAAAGAAAGGGGACTGACTAAAAAGAGCAGCATGAGCATGTTGCAGATAAATTTCACCTCTGTCACACTTTCTGCTAGAGTTGACACTACTTCCATTCATATATGCCTTTGTTTCCATGTGCATTGATACGAAATTGCTACTTGGAACTGAAATGTTGATCTTTTTTTTTTTGAGACAGAGTCTCACTGTGTTGCCCAGGCTAGAGTGCCGTGGCGTCAGCCCAGCTCACAGCAACCTCAAACGCCTGGGCTCAAGCGATCCTCCT